TCCTACCTGTGCCCCACCTTTCCATTCCTCTCTGACCATGGGCCTTGGGAGTGGAGGGCTCACTAGAATCCGGGATCCCACAGCTATGGTGTCCTTAGGGACTCTGCTTGGACTGGACATCTGACTGGTTCCACCTCTTCCCCAGGACCAGAAAAGTCAAGTCCCCTCTGCCTGGTGAGTGCTCTGCACCACTGGATCCTAACAGGTGACTTTCTGGGGCTGCCCGCAGGGCTACTGCACCCTGTGTAGCTCCACAGTGCCTGATGGCGACGGCGGCATCCCTGGGCCTTGGGTCAGCCCGGGAGGTCAGGGACACTGCCCTGGGATGGAGGCACAGAGTCACGGCCACTGGGGACGCGGAGGGAGGAAGCCATCCATGGCTGAAGGCACGGAGGGGCCCAGCCATCAGTGGGCGGTGGGGGGGCACGGGGGCGTCCTGCGGAAGGTGCCCAGCTGACAGCGATACCCTGACCGAGATGGTCATGCTCAGAAACAGGCTGAAAGCTATTTTCCAACGACGGGCGGCAGACAGCAGCAGAAGTTAGGTAGCCCCCAGGGCGCTGTTCCTCCTCTCAGGGTGGTCGTGACGTTTGCAGGACACAAGGCACCCAGCGGCGATGCCGGACGTGCTCCCGGCACCCGGGACGAGGGACGAGGGACAAGGGACGAAGGACGGCCCGCCCACGCCGGAAGCGCGTGGACGCGCCGACGCCAACCGCTCTGTCTGCGGCGCCCGAGCCCTGGGCGCAAGGTGCCCGCACAGCCCGCCGTGCACTCACCCCCGGAGCAGCCCACACCGGCCAGCGCAGCGGCCCCCGGGCAGTGCCCCCGACCCGGCACCCCGGCCTCTTACCCCGAGAAGGGGGCTCGAGCACCTCCTCATGCCGGGTGCGAGGGGGTCCCGAGAGCAGGCCTGGGCGGCACTTACTTGATTTTGCTGAAGACGATGTCCACGTCTGTGACGGTCACGTTCTTCCCGTCGATGACCTGGCAATCCTTGCACAGCTTCGACCAATTCTTGCCATGCATCTCCTTCCCGGTAGCCCTGGTGTCCCCATGCACGGCAAAGCGCCGGAAGGCCTCCTCCAGGGCGCTGAGCTCCGGCGCCGCGGCAGCCGCCCCCTCACCGGCCCCCTCCGACTCCAGCGACAGCCTCTTGGCTGCCCTGTCCTTTGCGGGGTCCCCTGGGGACTTGGGGGGTGTCTTGTTGGCGGCCTTGGCAGACTTGGCCTTGCTGTCGGCCATGTTGCTGGAGGAGGAGGGAGGGGAGAAAGGAGTCACCACGCTTCTGCCAGGCCACATGCGTCAGGAGGGGCACCCGGGATGTGGCGGCGGCCCTCAGAAGGGGGCAGAGATGCCACCAGAGGGGCTGTCCCCAAACAGCACAAGCCCTCCACGACAGCCCAGCCACCCGTGGGGCTCAGGTCCCTCCTGTTGCTCCCCTGCCAGCCACCATGTCACTGAGCCCTCCGTGCAATGACACCTTTCCTGGGGTACCCACCACGTGATGGGGAGGGGGACCCAGAACCCGTCGCCACCACCTCAGTGGGGCCCCTGGGTGGGGACCGCATGTGCAAGGGAGGCCACCCAAGAGGCCCCCGTCAGGACCTCAGCGGAGCCTGCCCTAACCTGCCCATGAGTCTCTGCTTTTGTGGGGCCTCTGATCCCCAAAGCCGGGCAGATCCCTGGGGACCACACAGGCTATGCTGCCCCTCCCACGTGTCCCAGCCAGTGGGCTCCTGTCCCAGCAGCCCCCGATTCCCAAGCCTCACAAAAGTGTGCCCCTGAGTCTCCAGAAGCTACTTCCCAGAGGAGCTGTGGGTGGCCGTCCCTGCCTCGGGGGGCTCAGCAAAGGGGGACAAGCCCTCGGGTTCAGGCAGACTCCAGGACAGACAGCAGCGCTGGGGACAGCAAGCACACTCACAAGTCCGCAGTTCACGGGGGCCGCCCCACCCCATCCCTCGCCGCTCCAAACCTGAGTCCTCAGCACCGGCTTGCCCAGCAGAAGCTGGGACCAGCACCAGGGGCTGGGGTGGCCGGGCAGACAGCGTTTGCACAAACCGCCACCCTCAGCAAAGCCCGCGCAGCTCAGCCGCTGCACTGAACATTTTCTAGGACCCCCTGTGGCCCTGCCATGCCCCTGCTCCAGGAGCAAAGCTTGAACCACTGGTGAGAAAAGCAGGACCAGTGCAGACGGGGCACCACCAGCAGGAGAGTCGCGCCCGCACGCATGCCTGTCCGTGTGGGGGCAGGGAGCACCAGCCCTCCCAGGGACCCAGGACAAAGGCGGTGACACCCAGTCGTCTCCAGTGTTATCGCTGACACCATTTCTTTGTCGGAAACAGGAGCTGCTTGGGGCTGAGGTGGGAGGGCTCACATCCTATGTGTTCTTTTCTATCCTTTGATAAATCCACGTGCTATTTCGAAAATGACATAATAATGATAAAATTAGTTTTTAAAAAACCTGAGGGCTTCCGCAGAGGCCTGCTGGAATACGGAGCTGTCCAGAGAGGCCCTGTTGATCCCAGGATGGCAGCCTGTCCCCACAGGAAGGCCTTCCCTGCAGGCACGGACCTCCCCATCAGCCCGGAGCCCAGGAGACGCAAATCAGCCCACAGCGGGAGTAGAGGCCCATCCGCTGTGACCAGGGTGGCCAGGGACCATTCTGGCTGGCCAAAGACTGGGCAGTCCGACTGTCCTGCCCTTTCCCTCAATGTGAGGGTTTGCAGTAGCTCCGGAACACCCCGGGAGCTCCTGTGCTCAGACACCCCCTCCCTGTGGATTTCTGGAGTCTCTCTCTTTGGTCTCACCGGCTTTCCTGGGATGGGTATGAATTTGGGGGGATGGAGGAGGAGGGAGTGAGCACAGAGCTGGGGTCCACAGTGCATAGAGGCTCCCAGACGCCAAGAGACGCACCCGGAAAGCGCCCAAGCATCGTCGGCATCAGGCCCACAACAGGCCAGCTGAGCTCCCTTGGGCCCCCTCTGCTGCTGGGCTCAGGGGTCCCAGGCAGCAGGGCAGGGGTAGCGGTAGGGGGTGAAGGGGGCCCTGCAGAAGAGCAGGAGGGGGAGGAAACCAGGGCAGTGCACTGTGGGTCCAGTACGAGCCGTCCCCCCTCGGCCAGAGGGCTCGGGAGCAGGGAGCTGAGAGAGCACGCGCGAGGTGTGGGGACGGACTGTGTTACTGGATTTGCATTTTCGGAGAGGCCCTGCCAAGGTGGAATTACAGAGCCGGCTGGGAGGAGGGCCCAAAGGGCCACCCCTGCCCACGGCCCCACACAGACTTCAACACACCTGACCCCAGTGTCCACCAGACTTCAGGATTATACCCCCGCCAGGAAAGGCTGTCTCTCAGACACTGTGTGTCCTCCCCAGCCCAAAACCCCTCCGGAGCCATCTAGGCTCCAAAGAAGCCATGGGCCCCATGCCAAGGGCCCTACTTCCAAAATGAACTGGGTTCCATTTCAGAATGACTCTCCCTGGCAAGCTCCTTAAGACTCGACCACCGCGTGACGCTAAACTTACAGAAAAGGTTATATAGGACAGACCCTGAAAAGCCACTATCAGCCACCACATGGACATCAGCACACAGAGCCCCAACTAGGAGCACTGGAAATCCCTGTTAGTGATATGCCTGCAACAGGGCCAGGTGTGCGTGTGAGCAGAGCCAGGTGTGCCTGTGAGGGGGGCCAGGTGTGCGTGTGAGCGGGGCCAGGTGTGC